AGTACAATTAAATATTTTACCTAGTTTGAGTACAATTAAATTTTTATCAGTTTGAGTACAATTAAATTTTTATCAGTTTGAGTACAATGTAAATATTTTACCAGTTTGAGTACAATTAAATATTTTTACCAGTTTAAGTACAATGAAATATTTTTACCAGTTTGAGTACAATGAAATATTTTACCAGTTTGAGTACAATGAAATATTTTTACCAGTTTGAGTACAATGAAATATTTTTACCAGTTTGAGTACAATGAAATATTTTACCAGTATGAGTACAATTAAGTATTTTTACCAGTTTGAGTACAATTAAATAGTTTTCATCGTGTGTTTCCTAAATTCGGTTTGAATTACCTACCACAACATTTTTACAGCTTAAAGCTAAACGAAAGAATTAGAAAAAACTTAAAATTATTGTTGATAAAAGTGAGTTTTCATCTTACACAGTAGCTATTTTCAGTGCCACTTTTAATTTTCGAGAAGATTGAAAAAATTGCGGACATTCAGTTTATACTAGATCAAATAAATAGTAGAATGTGTTTGAATTCTCAAATTCAAAATCATCATTTCTGATTAATATGCATGTATAATTGTATACATTACGTTTCCTAGGAAACATTCACAAATAAAATACCTAAGCCTATCACCGACGTGGCAATAGATCACGTGATACACACTACAAAAATGTACACTGATCAAGGTAAAAGACAGCAAGATATACACCAATAACCGCGTGTTTCTTAACTTCTAAATTATTATCTGTTAACAGATTACTAGTCTTTTCCATTTTAACGATTTTAAGAGTTATGAATTGTTGAGTTTAAAACCGATTCCCTCAAACTTTATGCAACATCCAGTTTTACGTCGCTTTTCAGCAGTTGCCTTTAATTATTACTGAACTGTTATTTTTCATTTCTCAACCATACCCCTTGTTTCAGATAGATGATTCAAATGTGTAAGTGATATTAATGTGAGAATTGTCTAAGAAATTTTCTCTAACGACTCCTCCGTTGACTCCGTTCTCTTCTATGCCATCCGACGTGATCTTCGGATCGATGGCAGGACCCCAATCATCCCGAGGCGACAGAAGGAATATAAAGCGCTGGACAAAGATGAGCATTTATTAGCCTAGCCTATTGGTTTAACACAACAGACATTTATATTTCATTAGCAAATTAGGTTATAATTAACACAACTATTTAAGTTATTGTTGACTTATAAATTTACTAAGTTTACTTGGGCTAAGAAATGGCTTACCGGATAACCACAAAAAACGACTTGCCATTTAGACTTATTTCTTAATTAGTCGTCTTACAATTTAATTTCTAGAACATTGTATATGTGTTACTGTCCAGTCGTCATCAGAACAAGATATCATAATCTCTACAACATTGTACGTGTGTTTCCGTCCACTCGTCTTCAGAACAAGATATTCTAATCTCTACAACATTGTATGTGTGTTACCGTCCACTCGTCATCAGGACAAGATATTCTAATCTCTACAACATTGTACGTGTGTTACTGTCCACTCGTCATCAGAACAAGATATTTTAATCTCTAGAACATTGTACATGTTATTGTCCAGTCGTCATCAGAACAAGATATTATAATCTCTACAACATTGTACGTGTGTTACCGTCCACTCGTCATCAGAACATGATATTCTAATCTCTACAACATTGTACGTGTGTTACTGTCCAGTCGGCATCAGAACAAGATATTATAATCTCTACAACATTGTACGTGTGTTACCGTCCACTCGTCATCAGAACATGATATTCTAATCTCTACAACATCGTATGTTACCGTCCACTCGTCATCAGAACATGATATTCTAATCTCTACAACATCGTATGTTACCGTCCACTCGTCATTAGAACAAGATATTCTAATCTCTACAACATTGTACGTGTGTTACTGTCCACTCGTCATCAGAACATGATATTCTAATTTCTACAACATCGTATGTTACCGTCCACTCGTCATCAGAACAAGACAATTTAATCTCTACAACCCTGAAGTTTTTCAGAAACATTTGATATTTTTCTGACGACCAGTTTATGTCTGGAAAAATGTTAAGGTTTATAGTAATTGTATGTAAATTATAATCTTTTCTCGATATTAGTCAGAATAATTTCATGCCAAAACTCTACTATCTGTAATTAATAACTTAACTATCAGACCGAGGCTATAACTTAACTACAAAAAATACTGGCTCACCTCTTTTACTATACAAAAATACTGGCTCACCTCTTTTACTGTACAAAAATACTGGCTCACCTCTTTTACTGTACAAAAATACTGGCTCACCTCTTTTACTGTACCCTTAGAAAGACTTATAAGCTTCCAGATGAGGACTCCCACAATAACGACAAGCGGCTGGAAGGCGATGATCCAGCCTATAGCATTGGCCCATCCTGGAAACACGTAATCACCTGACTTCAGAGGCTCGTACTCAATCCAGTTGAAAAATAAGATGAACTGAAATATTGCGTAGGTTTCTTAGAGAGAGGAGTTGTTATAAGTAATTACGTCATGTTTCGACGATGTGGGGTCAAAGGGGCCACATATATCTTAAATATAATTTAATAACTTTCATGTAGCAACATGTAAGTTATGTCAGTTAAATTAAACTATGTTGTTCTTTAAATATAGCAATATATAAATCACGACATTTTACTTTAACACTACTTTTCTTTTCGCATGCACACAACACAGGAGTATTATATTCAACAGTGTATTTAGCTGTTTACTAGTATAAAGTACAAGTTTCACGAATCGTTCCAGACCGGTGGCATTATCGTGACTTTAGACTTTTGTATATCAAGTATGTTTTCAAGTTAGTTTTTTTTTGGTATATGTTACGTACAGCTTACGGTAGATGCTCTTGTTATCTTGTTCTATAAAGTATGTCGTTATGTACCGTATCTGTGAAAGTCTTAAGCTTATGTTAAAAACACTTTTCATCATTGAAGTAGTCACTGTCAGAAAGGTTAAAGGTTAAGAGCAGGCTATCACAGTTT